AAGAGTGTGGTTGGGCAGACATCGGGACAGCGTGTAAAACCAAAATAAATCACAGTGAGCTTGCCATTTTTAGCAAAAGTTTGATTGGTAACGGTTTTTCCTTGAGTATCGGTTAAGGAAAAGGTTTGTGCAAAATTGGCACCGGTCACATCGGTACTGGTAAAAGAAGCTGGCTTTTCGCAGGCCATTAAGCCTAAGCTGATACCCATGATCATCATATAGTTAAAAAAGAATTTCATATCGGTCATCCTAAATTCCAAGTGCATTAATGTCATTTCCCTTCCTTTGGCCAAAAACGGCGAAAGGTGCGAGCAATAATGTTAGATTGTAACTGAGCTTGCAAGCGGATGTGTTGCCCAATCCAGTTGACCACGATGGGGGAGGTATTTTGCTTGAGGATGACAGAGAGTAGCCTATGGGGATCGGGTGTGTGCTGGTCCAAAATCACAAGGCTGGGAGTGGATAAATTGGCGAAGGGGGTGGGCTGAGGAGAAGAGTTAAGGGGTTGGTGTCGGAGTTGGCGTTGCTGACAAAAACCGATCAACCAGTTTAGCTCAGGGGTGCAAGGGTTGATGATCTGAGTAAAGTGATTGGGGGAAGGGGGGGAGCACTGGCCAGCGGCACTCATCCATAAGCCATTAATGGGCGGGAGATGATCTTTTTGGCGAGCGACATTAATGGGGTGGTCAAACCAAACCATTTGGATTTCATTGTGCAGTTTTTTCCAAAAGCGCGTGGCATGGCGTGTTTTGTCGGTCTCTGGTATGCGGTTTTTGGGTAGCCATGTATCGAGTGGGCGGTTTAAACTTTGGGCAAAACCGTGGCAAAAGAGCTGATCGAGGTGGTCATTTTGCCATATATATTGATTTTCAAAGGGAATAAAAATTTCTTCAGGGTAAGTACATACTCTAGACTGGTAGCGTGGCCTAGGCTCCTGCCACAAAAATTCGATGGTCTGCATGAGTGCAAACACATCCTCGTGATCGCGCTCATGGTGTGTGAGGGCACGTAACAAGATATGGTCTCGCCCCAATTGATAGTGGCAAGGGCTTAAATAGGCATACGCAAGAGATTCCAGTGCAGTATGATGATCTTGGGTTGCCTCGTAAGCGGCACATGGGATGGATTTTATCTGTGTGAGTTGTAGTTCGCTGGCAATTTGCCAGATAAACGGGCGTTCACCGTATGTATGGGTATCCACTAACGGGTGGATGTCACTTTGCCATGTGTGCGGTTTTATAACAGCATGCCAATATTCTGGCAAGTAGTTTAATAAATTAGATTTATCATCATTCTTGCCAAATGTATACAAACTTTGGTCCAGAAAAGGGGCATCGATTAAGATGGAAATGAAAGGCATATAGTAAAATGGCTGTGACAGGAGGGCAAATTGGGATGAAGTGGCAAGGGTAGGTGATACACTAAAAGCCTAACAAATGCGTGCTATTTTGCTAAATATCAGGCACTTACTTAAAACGGCCCATCCCCGCTCCCTTCCAAAGCACGACTTTACTTTTACGAGCCCTAGTTGACAACGGGTTATAGCAAACCCCTCGTCGTTATTGCGCGTCGTATTTTGGAGGTGTGTGGGGATTTCTCCACGACTATTCTTGTCCATAGTTCATTATTTTAATCAAATTTTTATACTCATGTCGCAAACGCCCATCGATTCGACGTCTAAACCGATACCGTCACAGGCCAGTTCACCGATACTAAAACCATGGTTTTATGAGGGGCTTATTGCTTGGCGATATTTGCGTGCAAGCCGCAAGGCCAATCAAAATCGTTTTATTTCTTTTTTCTCAATGCTTTCCATCGGCGGTATTGCACTGGGTGTGGCGGCACTGATTGTGGTGTTATCCGTGATGAATGGGTTTCAAAAAGAAGTGCGGGATCGGATGTTAGCGGTAATTGCCCATGCTGAGGTTTACCCTATGAATCAAGGCCCGATGGAAAATTGGCCAACGGTTTTGCAAAGCACCTTAAAGTTACCCTATGTTAAAGGCGCGGCACCTTTTACCCAAGCCCAAGCGATGATGGTGCGAGAGGACGTGGTGAGAGGGGTAGTTTTAAAAGGTATAAGCCCTGCGCATGAGGGTTTGGTATCTGATTTGCCAAAACAAATCATAGAAGGGGATTTAAAAAATCTCCAAACAGGTTCCTTTGGGATAGCGCTTGGAGAACAGCTGGCCAAAGTGTTAATGGTGACAGTCGGGGACAAGGTGACGGTGATGTTGCCAGAAGGTTCAATAACCCCAGCAGGTATGGTGCCGCGACTGAAAAACATGACTGTTGTCGCTATTTTTAGAGCAGGACACTACGAATTTGATAGTAGTTGGGGCTTTATGGCTATTGATGATTTAAACAAAATGTTGCGCATCGATGCACCTAGTGGAATACGCTTAAAGTTTGACAAAATGTTAGAAGCCCCCCAATTAGCCAAACAAACCATGCAAACCTTGGGACCGAATTACTGGGTGCAAGATTGGTCCGTCCAAAATCGGACGTGGTTTGCGGCAGTCAAAACCGAGAAAAGAATGATGTTTCTGATTTTATTGATGATTATTGCTGTGGCGATGTTTAATTTGGTGTCGTCTTTGGTGATGACGGTCACGGAAAAGCAAGGCGATATTGCGATTATGCGTTCGATGGGTACCAGTAGTGGCAGTATTATGAAAATTTTCATGACACAGGGTTTTTTGATTGGTTTGTTAGGGATTGGGTTTGGATTGTTATTTGGCTGTTTAATTGCGGTGAATGTCGGGCGAATCGTCAAGTTTGTAGAAATGGTTTTGGGTATTTCATTTCTACCACAACAGATTTATTTTATTAGTGAGATGCCTTCAGAACTGCGATTTGATGATGTCAGTATCATCGTGGTGGTTGCATTGGTCTTTGCTATAGTCGCTGCCATTGTTCCCAGCCGTAAAGCGGCACAAATTAACCCAGCTGAGGCCTTACGATATGAATAATCTTTCCTCCCAACCGGTTTCCTATACAACGACGCAAAATTTAGCTTTATTGACTTTGTCCGCTCGCCAAGTGTCAAAAAAATTTATCAATTCCACTGGCGAAGTTTTAACTATCTTAGATCAAGTGTCTTTAGCCGTTGCGCCAGGGGAGTTAGTGGCCATTATTGGGGCATCAGGTTCAGGAAAAAGTACGCTGATGCATATTTTGGGGGGCTTAGATGATCCCGATCAGGGGGAAATTTGCATAGCGGGTGTCGATTTGGCGCGAACTCATGGCAAGAGTCGTGATGCACTACGTAATGAAAAAATTGGTTTTATTTATCAGTTTCATCATTTATTGCCCGAATTTACTGCACAAGAAAATGTGGCCATGCCCCTGTGGATACGAGGGATTCCAAAAAGCCAAGGGCTCGCCATGGCGCGTGATGCGCTAAACAGTGTGGGTTTGTTATCGCGACTCGAACATGTTCCCGCTAGTCTGTCAGGAGGGGAGCGCCAGCGTGTGGCCATCGCGAGAAGTCTCGTGACCGAGCCTACCTGTATTTTAGCGGATGAACCCACAGGTAATTTAGATCAAGCCAATGCCGAAAAGGTCATGACACTGATGTTTAAAGAGACGCGCGAGCGCAAAATGAGTTTGGTTTTGGTGACACACGACACGGCAATTGCCTCGCGTTGTGATACGGTGTATCGTTTGGTCGGGGGACAGCTCGAGCGTGTTCATGTTTGAGGTCGAAGAACATTTATTTTTTAATAATGATTCATGGGGTTATGTCAAAAGTCATGGGGAGACATCAAAAGTACGCATGCTCGCGGGTGTGTGTTCAAGGACGAGTTGTTTTAATGCGATGATCCATTCCGGCGAGACGTTTAAAGCGGGAATATAGTGATAACTTTTTCCTCCGTGCGCCAAAAATAATGTTTTGTTGGCTATGGCAATTTCCTCAAGCGTCTCAAGGCAATCGGTAGGAAATCCAGGGCAAAAAACATCCACGCGTATTGCTTGTGCACCCAATTGCTTGAGTACAACATCCGTGTAGGGTTCTAGCCATTTCGCTTTGCCAAAACGGGACTGAAAAGTGACTTGGTAGTCTGTGTGTTGTAGATGGAGTGCATCGGCTAACAAACGCGCTGTTTTTAGGCATTGGCAATAATAAGGATCACCAAGCTGCCGATTACGCTCAGGTAGCCCATGAAAAGAAAATACTAAACGATCCCCTGCTGTAAAGTTCGGTTTGCCGTTCACTTGCCAAAAGCGGCTGATTTGTTGTGCACCCGCATGGATGTATGCAGGATGATCACAATAATGTGAAATGGTGGTGAGGGCTGGTTGCCAACGCATTTTGAAAAACTGTTTAAAAATCATGTCACTTGCCGCCGCCGTGGTGGTGGCACTATATTGCGGGTACATGGGTAGAACCAGCCAACGACCGATGTCTTGATGTGCGGGATCATTCAAAACAGATTCTATGCTGGGCTCACTATAACACATGGCTGCAAGCACTTTGATGGGGGCGTTATGGAATTCCTTTTGCAGTAATATCGCTTGTTGTTGCGAAATAGCTAACAATGGGTTACCCGTTTGTTGATCCCAAATTGCTTCGTATTTTTTTTGCAACGCGTTAGGGCGGCGCGGCAAGATAAAAGTATTTAAAATCAACCACCAAATAGGGCGCGGTATTTCAACAACCCGGCGATCACTCAAAAAAAGGCGCAAAAATTGTCGGATACTTTTAGGTGTGGTGGCATTGGGTGAACCAAGGTTCACCAAAAGAACCCCAAGGCGTGATTTGTTTTTGCTTGTGTGCGGTGCAAAGTCAGGTTCTTTGTTTAACATATGGATTATTTTGATTTTAATGTTATTTGGCCATGGTGCCCAATAAACGTGCAGTGATATCAACGATGGGAATCACTTGTTTGTACTCCATGCGCGTAGGGCCAATGACCCCCAATCGGCCAACCACCTGTCCGCCTACTTTGTAGGGGGCCGTAATGAGGGTCATATCGTCGAGTGGATGATCGTTACCTTCATGAGGGAGTTCTCCGCCAATGTAAATTTCAATACCTTCGGCATGGTTAGACATTTCTACCCATTTGAGGATCTCTGTTTTTTCTTCAAATAAGTTAAATAAATGCCGCAGTTTTTGTACATTGTTTGAAAATTCACTCACGTCGAAAAAGTGGTGCTCTCCAGAAATGGCCACGGCAGCATGGTGATGCGAGGGGGATTGATGACAAACCCAAGCGGTTTTTTCCAGAAGTTGTTTTATATCCAATTGAATATCAAAGGTTTCTTTTTTTAAGCTGTTTAAAACCTGTTCAAAACTCGCCCCAGCAAAGTGTTGGTTCAGATAAGCGGCCACTTGTGTGAGTTTTACAATGTCAATGGCTTGATCCACATGGAGGATACGGTTTTGGATTTCATCGTCAAGGGTAATCACAATAATCAGAATCCGTTTTTCACTTAACGGCATGAATTCAATCTGTTTAAATCCCATAGGTTTTTGATGTTGCACAACAATTCCTGCAAAATGCGACATGTTAGATAATAAGCCTGCCACCGTTTGTGAAACCTGATTACGATCGCCGAGACTTAAGGGGAGAGGTATGGCTTGTTGCAATTGTTCTTGAAGTCGGTCATACAGGGGGGGGAATTCGGATTCTGAGGCTGACGTGCCTTGTATTTGGCAAAATGATGTGGCTAAAATGCGATTGACAAAAAAGCGATAGGCTAGAGGCGTGGGCACTCGACCGCTTGAAGTATGAGGGCTGACCAACAGACCAAGATCGGTTAATTCGGCCATCACGTTGCGAATAGTGGCCGGTGATAGGTCGAGTCCTGAGCGTTTTGATAAAATACGAGAGCCTACCGGCTGAGCATCATGGATATAACATTCAATCAAGGCATTGAGTAAAATCACTTCTCGTTCATCGAGTTGAAAGTCTGGCATTTCAATCACTAATAGGTTGTTTAAGTATCGTCTGATGTGGACAACGGTGCATTTTGTTCACACAAAGGCAGTCGTCGCGGTACAATGCTGAAAGTACAAAAACCGTTGCTTTTGCCCAAGCTGACCGAGTGGTTCTGTCAAGAATTCATTTTAACCCAATTATCGATCAAAGTGCTACGTATATAGCAAGGCTAGGGGGCATGGCAAAGTGGCACTTTGATAGAAAATTGGCACGAGTTGCCACAGATCGATTGTGTCAGATGAGCGCCAGCAAATATCCAGTGAGTGCGTATTTTCTCTATCTCCAATTTCGCTAAGGCACTTAATTTTGACGCATAATATCGTGTTAATGAAACATGGGTTGTCATTTTTCCGACGCCTCTTTTTAGCCTTTAGGTGTGTGAAAGAGGTATTGATGACCACATTAAAGATAGATGTGATGAACTATAAGGCTCCTTGGCGTGAAATTGCGGATATAGGTATTTTAACGATAATTCTTTTTAAACACAAAAATGGCTGCAAAAAAATATCCACGCGTCGCAATCGTTGGAAAAATTGCCCCTGTTACAGGCATTGTTGAGGATTTAAGGCAGTTGGCGCAACGTCTTGAGTCTTTGGGTTTTTATGTTGTTATGGAAGGCAAAACTGCTGATTATCATCATCTTAAAGGGTTTCCCGTTCGGAGCGTAGACGAAATACGTGAACAGGTCGATGCGGTAGTGGTTTTAGGGGGCGATGGGACGATGCTCGGCTTGGCGCGGGAAATGGCGGGAGCACCGGTTGCCGTTATTGGCGTAAACTATGGTCGCTTGGGGTTTATTACCGACATTGCACTGCAAGATATGCATATTGTGATTCCCCAAATTCTTGCAGGATACTGCACCCAAGAGCAGCGTACCCTTTTGGATGCATCAGTCGTACGCAATGGTCAAGTTTTGCGCCAAGCATTGGCCTTTAACGACGTGGTTGTTAATCGGCTTTACCCTTCGGGGATGATCGAGTTGTCCATTACGGTTGATGGTCACTATATAGCGAATCAGCGTGCCGATGGGCTTATTGTATCTAGTCCAACCGGATCAACCGCTTATTCATTGTCGGCTAATGGTCCCATTGTTCATCCCGCGGTGACAGGGCTTTTATTAGTCCCTATTGTGCCCCATACCTTATCGAATCGACCTATTGTTTTACCACAAGACTCGGTCATTGAACTGGAAGTTATTAATCAGCATGCAGTTTCAGTGGGGTGGGATATGCAGTCGTTTTTTGAGGCGCAAGAAAGCGATGTTCTCAGAATTGCTCGGGCCAGTGAAAAAATTACGTTTTTGCACCCTTTAAGTTATGATTATTATGTGACTTTACGGAAAAAACTTGGTTGGAATGATGAGTAATATGTATAGGATGTTGAGCTTTTTGTGAGGCATACCCATTCTCCATTCAAGTGTTAGGTGAATTGGCGATGAAGACATTGCCGCGTAGTATGGCGGGGAGTCAGGACAAAAGAATGACACGGCAGTGTTGTCACAGTAGGGGTTTGATGGAGAATTTGTATTGGTAATTGATTTTGAATGGTAGGGTGATATATCGTCTATGTTGCAAGAACTTGAAGTCCATCATTTTGTTTTAATAGAAAAAGCTATCTTGCCTTTTCAAAGTGGGTTTACCGCGTTGACGGGGGAAACGGGGGCAGGAAAATCTTTGTTAACCGATGCCATTGCCTTATTACTCGGAGCAAAAGCGACAACTGACTGGATCCGCGCGGGTGCCAATGAATTAATGGTTAAGGCGGTGTTTGAGTTAGAGCCTAGCTTGTTGGCAAAAATTCAAGAGACTATGCCCCTTTTGACCCAAGCGCGCTTCACACTCTCTCGCACCGTCAATCGAACGGGGCGCCACAAGGCCTATTTAAACGAACAAAGTTTGACACTGGCGCAATTAAAAAGTTTGGGGGAGCATTTGGTGGACATTCAGGGCCAACATGCGCACCAGTTGCTTTTGCGTCATGAACATCAACTTAAATTGATCGATCAGTATGCAGATAGTTTGTCTTTTGTTGAAGAAGTCCAAAAGCGGTGGCAACAATGGCAAGATCGATTACAAAAATTAGAGCGCGCCAAACGCCATGTCGAGCAAGCGGGGTTTTTGCGAGATGCCTTGCAGTGGCAGGTGGATGAGTTAAATAAACTTTCACCGCAACTTGGTGAGTGGGAAGCCCTCGTTGCAGAGCAAACCCAGTTGGCGCATGCGACCGATTTGATCAGTGGCTTACAAGCGAGTGTGGATGGTCTAACAGAGGGTGATGAAGCCATGAGTCACCAGCTCCAAAGTCTCATATCGCGTTTGGACAAGTTGTTGCCGTACCACGAAGCATTGGCTAATCCCCTGCAGATCGTTCAAGATGCCCTCGATTTAATTAACGATGCCGGTTATGAGCTCAATAAGTATTTGCAGCTATTGAATTTAGATCCAGACCGTCTTGAGTGGGTAGAAACGCGGATGAGCCTGTGGCATCAAATTGCTCGAAAAATTAAAGCGGCTCCCGCAGATTTAGCACAAGTGTGGCTGGATAAAACCCATGAGTTAGCAGAAATTGATGAAGGTATCGATGTGGCGCGTCTGAGTGAAGAAGTGGAAATTTTGCAAAATCAATATCTTGAAAAGGCTCAGGCTTTATCCAAAATACGTCACAGCAAGTTAGAGCAGCTCAACGATCAGGTAAGTCGGTATTTGCACGAGCTGGGCATGCAAGGGGCGCAGTTTGTTGCCAGTTTAATGCCGAGTTTGCCTAGTCGTTATGGTCTTGATAAAGCAGATTTTTTATTTTCTGGGCATGGGGGCAGTGTGCCGATGTCGTTAGCTAAAGTCGCGTCAGGGGGGGAGTTATCAAGGGCGGGTTTGGCTTTGAGTTTGGTCGTGCGTGGCGACGACCAGACCCCTACCATGATTTTTGATGAGGTCGACAGTGGGGTTGGGGGGGCAACCGCAGAAATTGTTGGACGTTTGTTGCGACAATTAGGGCAATCTAACCAAGTTCTCGCTGTGACACATTTGCCCCAAGTCGCTGCTAAAGCTAACCACCAATTTAAAATTACTAAAGTACAAGTGGCTAAAGAAAAAGTCCATACACAAATTGTGAGTTTAGATGAGCAAGGACGGGTCGCTGAGATTGCACGGATGTTAGGCGGGGTGAATATTACGCACAAAATGGCAGAGGCGGCAGAAGATTTGTTAAGGTGAAACTGCGCATTTATCTATTCGATGAAAAAACTATTAACTTTGTATTTTTACAACAGATAGAAAAAATTAATTGGACTTTGTTGATGATTTGCTAGAAAATGTGGATCAGGTACAAATGGGGATGTGCTAAGCTCGTGTAGCACAACACATTTAATTAAATGTTTACTAACTTTACAATAATTTGGTAGCCACCGAACGGTAGCGAACGAAGGAGCAGTCATGACCCAAAGCAGCATCAATGCGCAACAACAATTTAGATTAATAAAAACTTCAAAGCTTAATTTGTCAAAAAAAGCCCTTGTAGCAACCATGTTTGCAGGGTCTTTGGGCATATTTGCCAGTAGTAGTGTTCGTGCGGAAATTTGGGTGCAAGACCCGACTCTTGGTTGTACCTATGTAGGTGGGGGGACAGCCGGAGGGGGGGGGGCTGCTTGTAGCGCGGCTGATGCAACAACTCTTTTTGGATCAAGCACGCCTTCTAAAATATCCAATGTCGCTAATGGTACGGTGACAGCAACGAGTTCGGATGCGGTAACAGGGGCGCAGTTGTTTGTAGTCAGTTCTGGTTTAAGTAGTGTTTCTAGTAACTTAAGTAGTGTAAGCTCTAACTTGAGCAGTGTGTCAAGCAGCTTAAGCAGCGTCAGTTCTAACCTCAGCAGTGTAAGTTCAGGTTTAAGTACTGTTTCTAGTAATTTAAGTCGTGTTAGTGCTGCGTTAAGTGGTGTTACATCAAGTTTAAGTAGTGTTTCTAGCAACTTAAGTAGTGTAAGCTCTAACTTGAGCAGTGTATCAAGCAGCTTAAGCAGCGTCAGTTCTAACCTCAGTAGTGTGAGCTCAGGTTTAAGCACTGTTTCTAGCAATTTAAGTAGTGTTAGTGCCGCGTTAAGTGGGGTTACATCAAGTTTAAGTAGTGTTTCTAGCAACTTAAGTAGTGTAAGCTCTAACTTGAGCAGTGTGTCAAGCAGCTTAAGCAGCGTCAGTTCTAACCTCAGTAGTGTAAGTTCAGGTTTAAGCACTGTTTCTAGCAATTTAAGTAGTGTTAGTGCCGCGTTAAGTGGTGTTACATCGAGTTTAAGTAGTGTTTCTAGCAACTTAAGTAGTGTAAGCTCTAACTTGAGCAGTGTATCAAGCAGCTTAAGCAGCGTCAGTTCTAACCTCAG